CCCGATTTTCCACCTCCAATCCCCATCACCCCCTCTATCCCCCAGCCCTTATACTCTTTTGCGAACCCATTGGCTCATCACCGTGCATCCTACGACGCCTCTCCCTATTTCACCCCGCAGTACCACCAACCTGTTCCTCCACCCCCACCCCGTCGAGCCTCTCAACAGTACATCCCTCCTTTCGCAGACCCGATTGTAGATCCCGACATGGCTCGTCGGTCGTCTCGGATCGCGCGCGCTGCCGAGGTCGTGCCCATGCCAGAAACTAAGTACGTCGAGCCAACATATGTCGAACCATCATATGTGGAACCACCATATGTCGAACCAACACCGGTGCTGCCAGAAGAGCCTCCCCAGCCAAATCCCGCGGCTAGTGTGGAGGTGAAGACAAAATTCCCTGTCGCGCGCATTAAGCGCATTATGCAAGCCGACGAGGATGTTGGTAAGGTCGCGCAAGTGACCCCAATCGCTGTCTGTATGTGATGCGTTCCCTCTTCTATACCTCCGGGTTATTTAGGACGCGATGCTGACGCGTTTTTGGTTTATTTATAGCCAAAGCTCTAGAACTCTTCATGATCTCTCTTGTCACCAAGGCCGCAAAGGAAGCCAAAGACCGGAATTCGAAACGCGTCACCGCATCGCATCTGAAGCAAGCAGTCTCGAAAGACGAGGTATTAGATTTTCTGGCCGACATTATTGCCAAAGTGCCCGATCAACCCGCTGGAAGAAAGCACGACGACGATGGAAGTGATCAAAACGAACAACCGAAACGAAAGCGCGGAGGACGACGACCGAAAGACGACAGCGACTAGCTATAGACAATGGGTGTCGGCGTTACCTCTTTTTTTTCTTCCTTTTTTGTTCGCGCTTCAACTTCCTAACACCATTACCTCTTTTCTTTGCTTAAACGACTTTGATGGGCGATATCTTAGACTGGGATGGAGAGCGGGCGCATACTCTCTCGGCGTTGTGATGGCGGGCATGGTTTGATTTGCATCTCGCGATGTGAATAAGTACCCTTGGGTATTCTTCCTTTTGATTCTAGGCTTTTGATTCAGCACATTTTCGAACAATTCACTCAGTTATGAGTCGATCTCCAGCCCGTGGGCTTGAATGGTGATCGATACCGTATGGCATGTTGTCTATCGTAGTGGATGTAGATGCCTGAAAACGCTCACTTTCAGCTTTCATAACCAGTAGGTTCTTTAGTGATGGATAACCAAGTCTGAACCAGCTAACTCGAAAGCTGCATCCATTACCCTTCCAATAAAGACTGCACCTAACTCGGTTACATCGAGCTGGGTGTATGATGCATTTTGGGTACTGCGGACAATGAAGATATGGTATACTCCCCCATTGCCAGTTGACACACTAGCAGGATGAATGCAGGTAGTTGTATCCAACAATGGATAATCTTCATATCACTCTAACGTAATACGATGAAGCATTCACTAGATACATCATATGGATCACGGTCATGTGATCGCAATCTAGGCAAAAAAGGGTTGCCAAGGTTGGGATTCGAACCTCCAATCTTTCGGTCAGTAAGGCTTCCCGTTCCGTACAAGAATTGCCTGGAAAGCATCCCATCCATTGCCGTAACTGACTCGACCATCTTGTCGTGAAGTGAGGAAACGCCAGGTAGTACTTCGCATTGTTTCATTCAAATGGCATTTGTGTCTTCCCTGTCACCTGTGGATGTCCCCTGTGCGACCATAAACACCACTGTTTAATCATGTATGCGGTTGAATAGTATCATGCTGTTCTCACGCAATCATGGATTTTGTAAGTTGATTCTTGCGTCTGAACTCTAAATTAGCAGTTTTACTCAATGGCCATTGGAATCAATTTAACTAATCTGCGATAGTGGTCTCGTTTAATCGGCGGATCCCGTTCGCTGTCTACCAAGACGTACCAGGCGAGCTCTCCTACCGAGCGATTGGCGGCCTTCAAGCGGACATGTAACACTCTGCAAGTACGCTCTCCTCTCATTGCGCCGCCTGTCGGGCCTCGACTAATTTTGTCCTTTGTAGCAAATCTGGCGCTCCACCAACTCGCCGACCGGAGATCAGTCTGCGACAACCCATGCGCGCAACTGCATTGACCGACTAAATTCCGTCCTCAGCGATGAATCTCGAGGTCCGGCTCCTCATCCGTGTTTAGCATACGCTGCATCTTCTCAGATCTTTGTGACCGTCACCAAACTCGCGCTGTCTTCTTACGACGATGGAATGCTCCGTTCCGCCGCTGTCTTCTTCAATACCCTGATCGATTCGGAGGTGGATGGAGTAGTCGATAACCGGCTTTTTGCGCGGGCGCTGGTGGATCTTGTCCGACGTGCAGACAAACACTCAGAAGATGTGGAAGGAAGGCTTGTCGAGCTGTTGTTTGGCGTAGCCAATAATATTCGTCTGCAACCTGATATTCTCCCAGCGTGGTTTGCTCCGAGGTCCGAAGACCAAGACCGCGAGCAACAGACCAATACTGGAGCTGAGTTCGCGGGTGCGACTCGGAAGGATGACTTCCCACTGTTCTACTTGTTAGTGGAATATGTTCACCATGGGGGCCGTGCGGGTGATTTTGCTCGGACCGGTCTTCTTTACCTGATCGAGACAGCATCTCGCTCAAAGAACCTTGAGAGATGGCTAATTGAGAGCGACCTTGCTACACTAATGGCAACGGGACTAGGTGCGCTGTATAGTCAGTTAGGCAGGTGAGTATCTCGTGAATCCCGGGTACTTCGAGCTATATTGATTGAAGTTGAAAGCCTGTCCTTCGATGAAACCTCCGACGAGAAGATGCCGCACATTGTTGCGCTATCAGATCATGCTAAACAAGAGACTGCTCTTCCCCCTGCACTGGGGGCAACTGTAGACTCTTTCATGTCGTACCTACTATTTTGGCAGGACACCATTGACCATTGCAAATCGGCAGAAGTCAACGGCACATTACTGGACCACTTTCAGGTCTTGTTTCTCGAACAACTTCTGTAAGCGAATTCCAAGCGGACTAGCTAAGTAGGCTAAGTAGTTGCTGATATGATCCTTCTGTGTAAACAGATACCCATCACTGCTCGAGTCCTCGGATGTCGAAGGTGGTTCTACCGCTGCCGTGCTTACCTACTTGTATCGCATTCTCGAGTCGATCAACCAGGATGATCTGGTTCATCGGATTCTTCACTTCTTACTAGCCTCACCTTCCGACATGGAAACTTCACCCACTTTGAAAGTGAACATGTCAGTAAGCCGGCGCAAGTCCCTGGACGTTCTAGCAGCTTTCTCGGAGGAAGCTGCGAAACCGTCACCTTCACTATTTAACCTGAGAGACCTTGCCCTCCTAGGGCTGCAATCTTCCAATCGGCAAACTGTTTTGGCAACGCTACGGCTGATGGCGGTCATCCTCCAACGACATCATACTTTTGCCCGATCATTGATTCGGACGGTTCCTGGGCAATATGCTGGGCAACGAACCGTGGGGCAATTGAATGCAGAACTGGAGCAGCTCACGGGAATGGCCACGTCAATTGTGGATGACCCCACGCTGAATGACTCCTTTGATGACTACCTCAAGGATGCTTCATATATTTTAGAATCACATTTGTATATCCCACCGGCTGAAACAGGCCTGGAAGATGACTGCCCACTGGAGATTCGCCAAGAGGACCCTATTGTCCAGGAATTACTAAACTGTGTGGAGACATTTTTTACTAATAGCGTCATCGTCAACCTAGCATTAACAGAGGTTCTCATGAGTATCGCATCATCACACCTTATATCCCTTGACAGTTGGCTCCTTGTGGACCCATCTAAATACATATACGATGGTCCGACTACAGCTCAGGATGGACCTATGGAAATCCTAGATCAAATAAAGCTGGCCTATCAAGAACCCTCATTGTCGAGCTCCGAGACACCAACGCTCACGTCCGCACTGCAAAAACTTGTGCAGCAAATCCAGCAATGGCGGAAGGATGTGCCAGATTTTGACATTCTAGTTGCGGCTCGGCGGGACCTACTCCATCAGGATGATCCTACGAAAGACATTGGCCGCCTTCAGCAACCATTTGAAGCAGCAACGCGTCTCCCTTCTGAACGACGACCACTGAAGATGCCCATGGACTCTGACATTGGGTCACCCCGAGGGAGGTCCTCCCTTGCACAGGAGACCCCGGGCACACCATCTTCCCGACAAGCTGCCGTGGGCTCACCGCTTCGTGGATCCTCAGTTCGCTCTCCCGGTTCTCGGGGGTCCTCCTCACCTCGTACAACCGCAGCGGAGGAGCTTCGAAAGCGACTGGCGAAGCCATTCCAAGTGGACCATCCGCACAAAGCAACGGTGCCTGGTGAAGAGCCCGAGCCGACGGCAGATGCCGTGGCAGAAGGAGAGGCTGAGAGTGCGATTGCTGATGAGGAGCCGCGGTCAGCGACACTGGGGCATGTCTTAACCAACGTGGTCATACTGTACGAATTCCTCCTAGAGGTGTCTGCCACGGTGCAGGCGCGGAGCACTCTATTTGGAGAAGCGGGATACCCCGGGGTAGGCTGGAGCAGCCCGCTGGATGAATAGTTGTTATGATTTGTTGAATTTGTTTAATATTATTAACTGTCCAACTACCCCATGGCATAGGCAGGTCCCTACAACCGGATGTATGTATGAGTCTAGACATTGTACATTTACATGAATTTTCAAGGCTGTTCGTGCTGGAACCATCTTCAGATATCACTCCAAAAGTCTCATTGGACTATAGTCTTTGCTATTCCTCCGTGTTAGTAGCTGTACTGCCACTGAGACGCATTCTATTCACCACACTTCCAATTTTGCAGTACTTTCTCATAAACATAAGGGGAATCTCCCACCACCAACACCAGCATTCAGTGTAGGATATTGAGGGGCTAAACAAAGAACCATGGCTGCCATTCACTGTCTTTGTCCATCTTTAAATCAGCTGTACAGCTTACATAAAAGCTTTATCAGAGCCTTCCACTTCGCCCGGCATATATATATTAGTAATTCTTGTCTTACCCTCGAACAACCTCCTGTCAGTTTCTACCTGGCATCTTTACTCCTATCTACAGCCCTCACAATGCTGATACTATATATCGTGGCGCTTTTCCTTTTCATTTGCTCCAATATACCTCCTCTTAGCTTGCCTTGACTACTCGTCGTCGCTCACATCTTACCCCGCCTTGCTCTTATTGTCCTCCGCGTCAGTTTCGCTGTTCTAGCGGACCTCGTGGTCATTTCTCATGGCATTATCGCGTTGCTTTACCTATATATTCTCCGCATGCTCACTCGAACCCCTATAACTGCAGATTTGTCCATCATCAGACATGCAGTCTTTTTGGTTGGTCAGCAACGGCCATGAGCATTTTCCGAGAGTCCAATCCTTGTATGAATGGCAGGGTGATCTGGAAGGGACATGTCATATGTCCACATATTATTCCTGCAAGAACACCATAAGTTGGACCAACAAGAACAGAGAGACGAAACAGAAAGACAGAAGAAACAGAAACAGAGACGAAGAAAGACGACTTCTTCTGAGCATGAGCCACTGCGACAACAAGTATCCAAGCAATACCCAAAGCCGATGTAAATGGTCATATACAACTGTTCATGTTCGTCCCTCTGCTTGGCACACCGCACAGCGGATCCTCGTGGCGGTGACACGAAGCACAAGTGCGACAGGTAGCAATTGAGAAGGTAGATCCTCTTCTATCCAGTTTAGAATCAACACAAGGGAGAGAGAGATAGAGAGTAGGAACAGCCGCAAAACTTGAGAACCCCTAAGCTGTACAAAAAGTCATCGACCACTCTGAGCAGAGGAATGTCTCCGATACCACTCCAGTTTGCTATTAGGCAGCTTGATGGCAAACTACTGCTTGCACAAATGTTCACTATGACCTGCCTCTTGGGGATTTCCTTGCCACATTGGCCACTTGGGATATGTGGACAGAGTTCTATTTACACATTGCTATGGTGACATCATGACAATGGGCCTGAGATTAAATGATCCATCAGCTGAATTACATTGAAGAAAGAATTAGTATCATTTCATGGACCTGTGTCAAGAAGATAAACGTCATTCCATACCCGGTTCATCTCAGCTTATGTATAGACTCAAATGAACTGTCCGGACGGTTGCTATTCCCGAGATCACTGTGATGTACATTTCTCAAACTTTCTTCAGCTTATTTACTCCTACATATGAGAGTTGCGCGACGTATCGACGTTACCATTGCTCCGAAGGACGTCTTATACAATCGAAGAGAGGAACAACTACCTAAAACAGTTTACCATGACTGATGGTACCTTTTAAATGCAGCCGGCGCAGCAGAGGGCAAAGTCCCAGCTCTCATCAAGTTCTGGGTCCGAATGGGTGACTCGCCGTAACGCCAGAACAGCAGCTTAGGGATGTTCCACCAACTGTTATTCTTAGCTCTGACTCTAATAGGAATATTGGGAAAGCTAATTGTTTTAATGATACTGGGTTTCGATGTATAAGAAATATACCATTTAAAACAACCGAGTCATATCATGGCGCCTTGAAACGGCATTTCGATGTATAAGAAATATACCATTTAAAACAACCGAGTCATATCATGGCGCCTTGAAACGGCATTTCGATGTATGTGAAGTGAAGCTGGATCAACGCTGCAGTGGAGCTGAGTTCCCGAGGACAGAGATGAATACTGGATCCACCAGAGTATGGGTTTGAACATAATCGGGCAGGAGGAAAATTTGAAGGCCGCAAAAAGAACACGGAGGTTGTGACGGCTAGAATCATGGAATTCACCAGCATCACGTTTCCCCGGACTGATGATAGGAAACTTATGACTACTGATGTCTGCGTACAACAATGTCGGTGACGGGACGATTGCTTCGAAATTTGGCCTGAAGCATGAACGCTCGTGAAATTTTCGTGATTGGAGATGATGAAACAACCGTCGTGACTTTTATTTTCGCCGCTCGTTATCTGCCTCTCCTCCACAAGTTCATATATGTGTCTCTAGGAGGTGAGTTGTGATCTTCAAGTTGCTATGGTCGGGGCAATAATTGAGCTGTCTAGCCACCTGAGGCTTTTCATGGATACATTAAACTAATCTGCCATACCCAAATTGAGTCTCTAGCATGATTTGTGACCAGGAACAGCTCCGCCGAGAAGTAAAACTATTGTGGGACAAAGACAGTTACAATTTTGTTCGCTGTCCAGATATCTCTATCGAAACCTTTACGTTTAAACAGGATTATTTACACAGCGATAAACCAATGGAGAACTTCTTCTGGCCTTGAAGCTTGTAGCATCTGTCTCGTAGAGATCTTATCGAAAGTTGGAAGGTATAAATAGGTTACAGTCCTGATGCAACCCTAACTCCACTCTCCCTGATAGCGGTGGTTTCCGCCCCTTCGCCTAAATGATTAGAAAACATTAAGTGAGATGCGAATCTCGCCAAAGGCCCACCGACTAAACACTCCCGCCACTCATCATCCTCATCATTCCTATTACACAGTACCAGCGGCAATTCTCCGTTGGAACGCGGCGGCATAATGACCCACTTCGGATGTTTGCGAGAGCTTGACTACTCCGGAGTGGTGTCAGGGTCCACAGTGTTGCTTACAGGCTTGGTAGAAACCCCCCCTTCTCTTTCTCCCCTGCTTGTCCCTCCTCCTACCCTTCCATCTATCAGCCGGTAAATATAAAATGGAAACATCCCCGACACCTCAGCCGCCACTCCGGATCGGTACGCGACGATCCAACCTGGCCATGGTCCAGGCGGAGGGCATCCGGGATTGCCTGCAAAAGATTGCCCCGGATCGATCGTATGAAATTCAAGCCCTCCGCACGCAGGGTGATCGAGACCAGTTGACGGCGCTATATAACTTTGGCGCTAAGAATCTCTGGACTACCGAGCTGGAGGAAAAGCTCAAATCCGGTGAACTAGATGTCATTGTGCACTGCCTGAAAGGTGATTAACAAAATATCCTGTTCCCTCCTTCGCCATGATGCCCAATCTGCAAACCAAAGGCCAGCTGTTGACCGGGGTTAGACATGCCGACGAGCCTTCCCGACTTCTGTGAGCTCGCAGCTATTCCGCCCCGTGATGATCCTCGGGACGCCTTGATTGTGAAGGCCGGCCTGCCTTACACGAACTTGCAGAGCCTCCCCGAGGGCGCTGTGGTAGGCACTTCATCCGTCCGGCGCTCAGCACAGCTTCGCCGTCTCTATCCCCATCTCCGCTTTGCCAATCTTCGCGGCAATGTCGAGACTCGTCTCGCTAAGGTGGACGACCCGGATAGTGAGTACACCTGTATGGTGATGTCTGCCGCGGGCCTTCACCGGGTAGGCCTCGATTATCGGATCAACCAATACCTCGGCTCTAAGGATGGGGGCATTCTCCATGCCGTCGGACAAGGCGCTCTAGGTTTGGAGATTCGCAAGGGAGACCGTAAGATGCAGGAATTGCTGGGCCAACTAGCTGACCAAAATTCCACTATTGCTTGCCTCGCCGAGAGGTCTCTTATGAAAACCCTTGAAGGTGGATGTAGTGTCCCAATTGGCGTGGAAACAAAGTGGGTGTCTTCGGAAGACTTGAGCATGCACGCTATAGTTGTTAGTTTGGACGGTACTGAGAGTGTCGAGGACACCATTGTCTTGAAAGTCCAAACTGCGGATGAAGCAACGGCGCTCGGAAAAGAACTCGCGTCACGAATGGTCAATGCTGGTGCAGGGGAGATTTTAAACAGCATCAATGCCAACAGGCCTCCCAAGGACTGATTATGGGTTACGTTTTAGAGCTCTCTTGCTGGTGCTCTTCGTACTCTAGGGAAGGGGGAAAGGAAACGGGTTTTCTGTAGTTCTTTTTGGCCTATGATTCTTCTACACACGAAAGAAAAAGAATGTGAACTAAAGCTGCATATGCACCTGTACAACGACAACAATACTTCACCAATGTTGAAAATTACTTTTCGATGATAGATACCATACCAATCAACCCACATCTCCAACTCAGTGACTGTTCTTCGATTCTGCATCTCCACCATCCCAGCATACACGCCTTCTTTTCCCATCAACTCCCGGTGACTCCGACATCAAGTAAACTCCCTGCCTCCAACATGCAGATGGATTCCGCGTGCTAGATCGTATTTAGCTGGTGCACCACGGTAATCGTCATCCTTTTCTATGACGCCTTATCCAGCGCCTCTTGCACCATCCCATCTCTGAGGTTGGCATTGTGTTACCTGTACAAAATCAACAGTCGTTGCCACAATCACGTATCTTAAAATTACCATGGAGATCGTCCTTTTCATGAACATTGAGCCAAAGATGGAGTGAAACTCATTGAGCATTTCGGTAGGTATCCACAAGGTATATACATATGAGGAAGCCAATCTATCTTTAATAATCTGAATGGACCTCAGCAGAGATGAGCAGAAAATATGGCCGATGCCTTTCATCCTTCCATTCGGGATGCTCCTCAACGTCATACTTCGAAGGAACCCAATCCTTCAATCCAGTCAAGACGAAGCCATTCTTGAGCAACGCAGTAACATAGGTCTCCACGGTTCGATGGTACTTTCTGACCCCATCAACACCCAGCCAGCTCGTCACACGCGGGCCCTCATCACTGTAGGAATTTAAAGGCCAGATCTTTCTATCCGCTCCATCGCCATCTTCGTTTGGCAGAACCTTCCAGTCAGGTTCTGGATTAACTGGAGCTGTACAGATGGGATGTTCCACTGAAAAGACCAGTCTTCCTCCTTTCCTAGAACCATCCTCTGGGGCACCTTTCTTCAAGCAAAGTCGGATTTGCTGAAGCAATCTTGAGAAATCTTCGATGTAATGGAACGTCAACGAACTGTAGACTAGATCGTATGAGTCTGTGCCGGATGCGCTGAAGGATATCGTCTCAAGATCGCCGACTTCATAACATAGTGTCCCATAAGAAGGCGGAATATTTCCTTTTGCTTGCAGGTCCTTCTCGGACTCTTTAGCCCTCTCAATCATCTTTGTTGATACATCCATGCCTTTGACGTGTTTCGCTCCGTTTTCTCGAGCCCAGCGAGTGAACCAACCGTAACCGCAGCCTAGATCCAGAATATGTTCATTCTGAATGCCAGGATGTCCTGGTTTGTTGTTCTTCAAGACCATCTCTTGCAACACCGGCCATTCGGGGGCTGCGTCGAAGCCATGTTGGGATCGGGGCAGTGTACTGTATGCCTTGAAGAATTTTGGGTCATCGTAGATATTTTGGGTTGGTATGGAGGACATCTTGAAGTCTAATATAGGACTGATGGGATGAACTACTAGAACAGCCTTGGTGTCGACTGCGACAAATATACGGTTGAAGAAGAAAAGAACTATTCCGGATCAGGTCCCCGACACGCTTACCGAATCAGGTAGTTGAACTCTAAAATTGAGAATCTCAGCATCTTGAATTATGAGATGACCCCCAGAACAAGATGACATTGCACTCACAACCGCCTCCATAAGCGTATAGAGATCTGCCAAGGGAGTCAATATCATCGAAGCTCTCAATGAGGATGCTCACCATTCCTCAAGCGCGTTAATCAACCCCAGAGCATTACATGCTATTACCTTGAGAGAAACCGCCCTGCTCCGCAACTAACTGTTCCCACTGGACCCATTCGTTCGGGTCCATCTCGAAAGATAGCAGGCTAGGGAAGTCATAGAAGTCGAGAGCTCCCCCATCATCGAGATTGCCTTCGTGACTAGGAGATTGAACTCTATCTTGGTCACTCGTTTCCTGAATGGCAGATTCAGATTCCACAGCCCGAACCTTGGCTGTGATGGTGACTCTATTGCTGGTCGTTGGCAGCGATTGATTGCATTGATATAATCGGGTGCTAATGGTTTCGGAACGCCGTCTGCCTTCAAGGCAGCAACATGGTCATCCCAAACCTCCAACGTCCACTTGCCTAGTGCTGTATATACAGGGCCGGTGGATCTTTCAAACACTTGAGGATAATATGAGAATACTGTTCCTATCAGCCTCCATGCCTTGTCAACGTCAGGCCCTGTTTTGCGGTGCCGAACTTCGATGAGCACGTAGAGTATCACATTCCAAAGAACGCTCGTGCCAAAATGCCACGTATATTTTTCTAGGCCGTGGGACCCTTCCTGCATAAAGATGACATAGTCTAGTAGCTTCATAGCGTTGACAAAGAATATGTTGCGCTCGCTTTGAGGAACTTTGATGGGGTTGTTGGCGAATTGTCGTGGATTATGCGCAAGGAGCTTCATCTTGCATATCGAGGTCCTGATCATGACTGATACGAAAGTATGAAGTGAGTCAGACGGGTCGCAGTACCGCAGATACTTCATTTCCAGCCGATCCTCAATGTGGCTGATAATGCTGTCCTTTTCCATGGTCGTGATATCCGCGCAGGAGAGTGCCTCCCAGCGCAATTCACCAAAACACGATGTTGAAAATTTGCGCAAACTCTCCATAACCTCGTATTTGATCAAGGAAGGAGTAATAGCGGTGATGCAGTGGCGTTCCAGTGGTGGATTGACCATGTCGGGGTAAAGGTCCTCGTCCTCGACATTTAGGGGCATTTGGTTATCGCTGCAGGAAAGATCCAGCGACGGTTTCGTGCCCAGCACCTCGGCCAGGCGGAAGTCCACATAAGCTAAATGCCACCAAAGTCGCCTTCGCATCTCGGTTTCGAATGGAGATAGCCCTAGAGCCGAGCTATCCCGATGGAGCCCCATTTTGCGTGCAAGTCGTATGGCAACGCCTGATAAGACAAATAGGGTGTCGCATTTGTAGCTTGCTCTTACACACGCCTTCCTGTCGTGAGCTGAATATTAAAAACAACTTGGTAACGACAACTTACCGTGAATAATGCGTATGCTCGAAGGGTCGTCGGACTGGATGTTGATAAGAACCCTGCGTTTGTTAAAGCTTGTCGAGCCGCGAGTCTATAGCGGGAGTACATGACTGATTTGTGTACTCCAAATAGATGTTGGCACTCATCTTCTCCCAGAGTAGAGATTGTCGCAAGGTAGAAAGCAAATATCACTGCTTCCAAGTCTGTGGGCATGCTTTGATGATCTCTCAGCCCATCAGTTGCTGCAGTCCAGAACGTAGGAAAATGTAAGATTTTTATCATAGGGTCAACCCGATCAAGATAGATTTCCTTTAACTTTGGGAGCATCTGGAGCGAGAGGTGGAAGTTTGAAAGGTTCTCGGACTTATCAATTTGTTCTGGTTCAAAGAACAGCCCACTGTCCTGAATGTTTGACTCTTCAGTTGGCTCACCAACTTCCGGATGGTGAAGCTAATAATATGGTCAGAGAAAGAAATGATAAGGGTCGAGTGAAAACATACCCCATTTCCCAGGCTAGACCACGGAGCACTAACACAATTTAGAAGCCATTACTTTACAGCCGAACGTAGTATCAAACATACCAATCAAAATACCTAGATGTGCCCTTATCAATGATGAGCCTTGGTTTAGTCTCTTCAAGATTGGAGCGTTGGCTTGGAGGGGCAGCGTCCTCATCCACCTGAACATCAGACTGAGATGCCGTTTCTGACCCCGAGGCATCAAAATCTCCCGATGGCTCAAATTTTACGCCATAAGATTTCAACAATTCCTCATATCGCTGCAATTTGGCATGGAGACCTTCTCTGGGAGGCTTTGTTCTTTTTCGCTTCCCACGCACAGGAGGAATAAAGCTGCATTGCTTCTCTGCCTTGACGCAATTAGAGCAGGGAGTGCACCGGTCGCATTTGACCTTGCGCTGCCGACAAGCCAAGCATGAGTAGCTTTTCGGACCGTTACCTGGCTCCAGGTTATCCGACACTGAGGATCTCTTCATCATTTATGTGCCGTTTAAAGGCGTTGGAGAAACCGCAAGGGTTGTAGTGATAGAGAAGGTTGACTGTCTCGGGGCTCGGAAGTGAAAATGCAACTTTTGCGCCCCGAGAAGCGAATCGGCATCGGCATAGCGAAGCAACATGCCCATGCTCTTTATATTCTCACCCACTAGACCACCAAACAATTTTTCCATCATGCCTAAACTGTTCCATATCTATCATGGCTCGATTTTCACCAAATGGCGAGCAGCAGCCTCCCATTAGTCGGGAGGACGGCAGGTCCAGCGCAGAAGACATAGTCTATCCCGCGGGTCTCAAGCTTGCCCTATTGTTGATGTCTATTTTTGTCGGCATGTTCCTAGTTTCTCTGGTGTGTTAGCATTCCAAAAGTAGCAAGCTTGCTCTGAATCTGTAAGCTGACTATATTAGGACCGCCTCATTGTCTCTACCGCCATTCCCCAGATCACTAATGAGTTTAACTCAGCGAAAGATATTGGCTGGTATGGCACAGCGTACTTGCTCACCAATTGTGCCTTCCAGCTAGTTTTCGGAAAGATATACACCGTCTTCAACGTCAAACCCATCTTTTTAATATCTATCGTTCTGTTCGAAGCTGGTTCGGCCCTCTGCGGCGCCGCCCCAAACTCGGTCACTTTCATACTTGGAAGGGCCATCGCCGGCCTGGGTGGGGGAGGTATTCTCTCTGGTGTTGTAAGTTTTGTATCAAGTGCCCCTTTGATTTTCACTGGCTTGCTCACCCAACGGCACATAGATCGTCGTCATTGTCTACGCCGTTCCGTTGCATAAACGGCCGAAGTACCAAGGCATCTTTGGCGCTGTATTTGCTATCTCTTCGGTGACCGGCCCGTTGGTCGGCGGTGCCTTTACTACAAATGTCACCTGGAGGTGGTGCTTTTATATCAACCTCCCCTTGGGAGGCGTGGTTCTAGTGCTTGTTTCCCTCTTGCTCCAAGTACCTGACCGTCCGGGCCTCAGGATACCTTTGAAAGACAAGCTGCGGCAGCTCAATATCTTAGGCCTGCTTGCCCTCCTTCCAGGAGTTATATGCCTGTGTTTGGCTTTGCAATGGGGCGGTACCACATACACTGTGAGTGTCTGCCATGGTGCCTCCCTGTCCCGACCCAGTAGAGCTTACGCATCCAGTGGAGTGAGGCGCGCATTATAGCGCTACTTGTACTTGCCTTTGTGCTTCTGATTGCCTTTGTCCTGATCCAGATCTGGAAGCCAGAACAGGCCATACTACCACCGCGCATCTTTTTCCAGCGCAGCATCGCATCCGGATTCTGGACGAGCTCCTGCCTCGGCGCGCACATGAATCTCTTCGGTAAGCCCACAACCTTGAACGAAGAACATGATACCATTCTAACCCCAGAAACGCTAGTCTACTATCTTCCGATATGGTTTCAGGCCATTAAAAGTGTCTCGGCCGTCGACAGCGGTATCCACCTGCTTCCCATGTTAATACCCGTAGTTGTGGCATCCATAATCACCGGCCAACTAGTCTCCCGCATCGGCTACTACACGCCCTTCATGATATTCGGCGTATGCCTCACAGCAATCGGCACTGGATTACTCACTACTCTCGGAATAAACACCTCAGAGGGCAAATGGATCGGGTTCCAGATCATATACGGCTTCGGTATCGGGTGCTGCTCCCAGGCACCCAACCTGGCCGCACAGACGGTGCTAGCGCGCAAGGATGTAGCCATCGGCGCATCTCTCATGTTCTTCGGTCAGCAGCTCTTCGGCTCTGTTTTCGCCTCGGTTGGCCAGAATGTACTCTTCAACCAGTTAGCACACCGTCTCGCAGATATACCGGGCATCAGTCCACGGCTAATCCAGAGTACGGGCGCCACCGAGTTCCTTAATCGCGTCCCAGCTGAGGACCTTGTCATGGCTCGGGAGGCCTATAACGACTCCTTGCGCACATGCTTTCAGGTCGGTGTCATTATGGCCTGTCTTTCGGTGTTGGGCGCTTTTGGCATGGAGTGGTGCAGCGTGAAGAAGAACCTTCCACCTAAAGAAAGAGGTGGTCAGAAGGCTTTTAAGGAGGGCAAATGTGATGGGACTTTGGGCGGGAAAGAAACGCCGCAGGATGTGGTGACACACTCAGCCACACTGACGGTGGAAAAGACTGAGCAGAGGATTAAAGGAGACTCTGGGGGTGAAAATGTGGAGGACATGAAGGCCGCCGTTTAAGCAGAGTCTCACTGGAATTGGAGAGAGAAAGTTACGCCGCTTGAAGCTTCAGAATTTCTTGGTTAGAATAACAGGGTTATTCTTGGCTGGACGAGCGAATGGGCCAAGAAGATGGAAGGAAATTGTTTGATTTGTATAGTAGATATAAGTAATATAGACAACCCCGCTCAGATATAGTATTATTGAAAACTTCTAGTATTAGTCGTTGAATCAAGAGCATGGCATCCCTCGATGAAGGAGGATGGAAAGCAGAAGCTAATCTCGTATCACTATTCACAGGCTAATCAACTTCGTCTTTATCCTGCAAGAACTGGACAACGGCTATCTTGAAGTTAGTAGGCCTTACACGTAAGAACCGTAGGGTATCGACTTACCCTTTCTGAATTCCTCAGGCCGTTCCTGAACAATCCAGTGTCCACAATCTATATCTACAATGTGCGATTGAGGGAAGAAAGATGAGATAACGGGGAACGAACTCTCCGGTATATAATGACTCTGCAGGGCCCGAAGGAACAACGCGGGTTTGGGGAACTGAACAGGTTTGTCCTTGTGTGGGAAATCCCCCAACGGACCGATGGCAGTCGTTAGGACATCTAAAGGAACACGAAGCTTCAGATGCGGGGAGTCGCGTTCTCGAACAAAATTACTCAGTAACCATAGCCTCACAGACGGGGACTAGATGGAATTATTAGAAAGAAATCTCGTTTGGGAGGAACAAACGAGTCCAACGCATACCTCCTCATGTCTGCTCAGGATCTTGTCCCCTTCTTGATGACTTCTGACTCGTGCGTCCTGTACTTCTTCCATAGCCCTGAGATATCTCGGAAACTCTTCCGTTAGCTCAAGGTGGATGGGACAGTTGTCGATAGCGACGACCTTGGATATCAGATCTGGAGACTGAAGTGCAAGCGTCAAGGCGGTTTTGGCCCCCCTAAAGACGAGAATCAATATGTGCTTTGGTATGCATGAAGCAACCCGCCCAGGTTGGTTCCTTACATCGAGTGACCAATCAATGTTGCATTACTCAGTCCATGGGTTGTGATGAAGTGCTCAACGTCTATTGCCATTTCCATATAGTCATGCTTGGGGTGATGACCGGAATCGCCATGGTTCCGAAGATCCTAGATCTCCGTCAATCGTTCATGCACCAGGCGTGGTTTGGAAGATGAAGTATACCAGACAGAAGACTTGCCGCGACAGATCGTGAGCCAAGATCCTTCACGCGAAGACCGTCAGCACTACACTGAAGTGGTCGGCAGGCAACTGTTTACGATAGAGACGTACTTGCCTACACCCCTGTTTTCGCGCTTGGACCCGAGGAATCCATGCAGGAATAATATTGGGTTTCGATTGGTTAAGTCTGATTGTGTACGGTTGGAGTTTTTAGGGGTGTGTAACTCATATGCCAATGGGACCCTCGAAGTTCTCGCTCTTGCTGGCATATGTATGTACCTAACGTAGTTCCTCGCCTGCCTTGAAGCCATTGCCCATGGGGTATGCATGGATGTTGGTCCCTAGAGGAGAAAGTATCAAACTACCCACGCGCTAGTTTGAATGAGTATTAGTTGTCATTGGTCGAGAAACTATATAGACAAGAAATCACAGTGGACAATATGCCAGACTCGGACCGGATGCCTAGAGTCTTAGACCCGGGTACTTAGACCCGGGAAGTTGAGCCTTTGCCGAGAAGTTGGTGGTTGACTCCACTCGGCGCCGATAGTGGAGAAGGTCAGGGTTTGCTGAACCAGTGACCGTGTCAGGCCTAACGTAGGGCGTGGGTAAAGAAGCAGACTCTTAATTTTTGCGCCCTACATTTTACATTATTAATTCGATGGGTCTGACTATCTCACTAGGGGGTAAAAGAAAAAAAAAGCTCTTTTTCTTTATTCTTTTTTCCGCCCTCCTAGAATTCTTATGTATTTCTTCTTGAACGTGTAGCCCGTAGATCATAGTAGCCAATAAGTAGAAGCAACACGAACCCTAGCAATGAAAATTCTACAAGGACACATTGAGTCCTATATTTATAAGCAATTGAGAGGTTATTCATGGTGTCATAATTGCTGAATATTATTAGTCCACCATGCCCTGTGACTCCTGTCTCTCTAGCGGTCACAGCGAACTCGGAACGAAGGCCGAGTTCTCCACCCATTTTTTTTCAGGCTCCTGAGAAATAAAATAGAGAATAGAGCCTGGAACAACTTCGAAAGACGAGGTGGTCAAGTTTAGATGCAAGATGGGCTCCCAAACGGATTCTGAGCTGCGCAAGACTTGCGATAGTCCAGAGATCTCTCCAAAGAACCCTTTGAGACCCTCAGTCTCGCGGAAGAGTATGGTGCGTCCATTTGACTTTTCTCTGGTAAGTCATAGGTTTATTCTATTCCAAGCCTCGTAATGTCACAATTCAGGGTTCAGATTATTTCTTCAAGGAGACAGTAAATTAACTTGTACCGTGCTTCAAGGCTCGCAAAGTTCATATCGTCGTTGCAGGGATATACTTCGTCTTCAACAGCTCCCTAGGTTCTTCCCTGCCATCGGGTGCTCATGATGCTATTGCAGACTATTTTGATATCCCACGGGACGACTTGAAGATGGTGCTCCCTACTTCACTCTACATGGCTGGGTTTGCCATCGGCCCTCTCATCTTTGGCCCTTTGAGTGAGCGCTATGGCCGGAAACCTATCCTGGTTTCCACATTTGCAATATATAATCTCTTTACCATGGCATGTGCATTGGCCCCAAATTTCCCAGCTCTTCTGGTCTTCCGTTTTCTTTGTGGTTTGGGAGGCTCAGCGCCGAATGCGGTGCTTGGTGGCCTATTCTCCGACATATACAACGATCCTCACCAGCGTGGGATGGTGATGTCGATATTCATGTTCGCAACGACATTCCCCCCTCTCTTGGGGCCTATCATTTCTGGGTTTGTCTCCACTGTATCTTGGAGATGGACATTCTGGGCTGGCTTTATCATCGGAGGTGTTGGTTTTCCTCTCGTACTTGTAATACCTGAGACGTACATGCCAGTCTTATCTCGTGCACACGAAAAGGCTTTGGGCCAAAGCCAAGTTGACTCGGAAGCAGCCAAACCTCCCCTGCATGAACCCAAACTGTCGGATAGTATTGGCGTCGTTCTCAGCCGTCCCTTCACTATGATTGTTCAAGAGCCGATTGTGTTCTGTTGTTCGATGTACTTGGCTTTGATCTACTCCATACTGTATTTGTTCTTCCAAGCATACCCCATCGTTTTCCAAGGTACCTACAACTCCCGTGGTCGAACCTTTCAGAAATTTTCGCTAACTGCAGTCTGTCGCCAGGGCTATATGGGATGACACCAGGCGTGGCAGGTTTAGCCTTTCTTCCAAGTAGGTTGCATCCACCTCACACGTTCCATAACGCGCAAATGCTAACAAGAGATGTAGTTCTGCCGGGGTCAATCCTTGCATTTGTGCTTTTCTGTATATACAGCTCGTACCACACCAAGGCCTTGAAAAACGGGTTAGCATGGGCCAAAGTGGAAGAGTATCGCCGACTACCACTCGCTTGCATCGCAGCACCCGCAATTCCCATTGCGCTCTTCTGGCTTGGCTGGTCATCAAGATCTTCCATTCACCCAGTCATGCCCATGATGTCCGGGGTTTTCTTCGGATTCGGCTATCTTTTGATTTTCATCGCGCTCCTTAATTATCTGACCGATGCTTATAAGCAGTACTCGGCTTCGGCGTCCGCAGCGGCGAGTACATTACGGTCCATATTTGCCGTGTGTCTTCCCTTGGCTACTACACCCATGTACACCAAACTGGGTATTGACTGGGCTAGCTCGCTATTGGGATTCGTTGCCATAGCGATGGCTATCATCCCATTTGTGTTCATTAGGTATGGGAGTTGGATCCGTGAAAACAGCAAATTCGCCCAAAGAGCGGCGCAGGGATATACTACCTCATGAAGGGATGGTGGGATGAAGAAAATCACGAGTAACGAATATTTCGACCTTTTAGCGCTTAGACATAGACCAAAAGTTTGCCTTCTTTAGATCATAGTACAGAAATGGAAATAATTATATACTCAATCCCACCCACCTTTCTTCTAGTGGCAAAAGCACTGCTCCCGGGCCTTTAGCACGAACACTGGGACCAGGAAGCCAACACATCCAACCTCCTCCCCCAAAATTAAGTGGCTCACTAGGTGGTTACCTAAGCTCCTTTGATATACGGTCCACGGAGACATGGGCCATACCCTTCCCCACAGACCGCAATCCCCAACCTCGTCAAACGTGGGAACGTTGGGCCCCCTGGATCCAAGCTATCGTATGTGTAGCGCCCTGTCGTTAATTCTTGAGTTAACGGGCTTGTACTAGTGGTTGATCTTTTTACTTTATCGGGACTTCCCGGTAACAACAACCGATTTTGAGACCTTTGATGTAAGCATTATTGCCTTGCCAGAAAATGTGCACACTGAACCTGGTTCCTATCTGGTGGGACAGTGGTGCTGCCATCAGCCGGCCGAGTACACTGTGCCTATTGTAGCATGTTGGATCCCAAGCCTGAGCATCTCACAGAACACAATCATGGGGCTTGTGACGGTCAACAACGCAAGTTTCGACGCAAGGATCACCTGGTTCAACATCTACGTCTTGTTCATCGCATTGATAGTCTTCCGATAATCAGCGACTGGAAAGTGGAAGCTACCAACTTTACTTCTCGTTGTGGCTTCTGTGATCGCCAGATGATTACGTGGTCTCAAAGATGTGACCATCTAGCATTGCATTTTCGCAATGGCTCTACAATGGCTGACTGGCAAGGAGATCATGGGTTTCCCGATTCGATTGCAACCCAAGTTACCCATGCCGTACCACCCTACTTGATTGACCTCGAGTCACGAACATGGTGCCTTTCTCCGCTACTAATGACCAGGTTAAGGATCATTTCTCTCAGATGTTGTCAAGGGCTGCTTTTCAGAGTGATACCAATGCTGGTGGCGATTACCAAGAGAGGTTGGAGTTACCTGATTTATTAGGTCAACTCCAAGTGCAGGACACCGGTCTGAATTCGTACACGCAGGTCCTGACTCGTCACTTGAGCCACTATGCAGAGGAGCAGACACAACCTCGGCATTGTTCCTACTGATGAGATGTTCCAACAGGAAGCACGTCGTCTTCTGTTTGATTCTGAGGATCCCTGGAATCAGACCACTGCGGATCACCCACAATGGCTGGCCGCTTTTCGAGAAAAACAGAGCTCATCCATGACCTAACCAGCTCGTGTTCGCATCTCACTCATTTGAATCGTTCCTAATGCAACAGACGCTAAACTGTATTTACAATTATCCGACCTCTTCCAAACAGGGTATATATTACCCACACTCCCTCAGACGTAGTTATCTGACCAGACCATACTCTCAACCAATTGTATAATGTCTCACATTATGTGCAGCGTCAACTCCAAAGGGGACCATAATCCATGATTATCGAAGTATGCCATGCCATGCAAAGACGCATTTTGGCAATTGCCGATGAGTCATTCCCATAAACTCTTCAAAGGCTCTAGATTTTCAACTGGAGACGAAGAAAGACCCGGATAAACCTTAGTCTGGCTTTATCGCGGGCTATTCATTGGCGAATAACTTAATGACTCCTGCAAACTCTCTTGCTCCGCATTTCGGACTGGTTTTGCAACTCCCCGGATGGAGGGAGTGAGTGGGTCGAAGTCTCCGAGGGCGTGCAAACACGCCCTACATCCTTGTCCCCACATAAATGTGGGTCCGTATACTATCTACCCAGTTCGTATATGCGTTGGTTCTATGTGACCTCGTAACAACGATATCCTGAGTTGTAGTCAAATCCTGCCATCTTGCGTCGGATGACGAGCTATAAATATGTTTAGCTGCAATATGGGGGAGCGTTCATCTTTCTCAAGTGTACAGCTCCCAAGCATCCCTGATCACTACTATCGCACATCATGCTCCCTCCGCCATTGAGTCACAGAATGCCCCTGCTTTCTCCGAGAAACAGGCCGGCCAGCCTCTCGATGCCTCCAAACTGATCTACACCTATACTACCAATCCTCGCGATGTTCCCGACGAAGCAACGGCCAACTCCGGCGACGAAACCATCTGCACTGACCACATGGTCGTCGCAACCTGGAAAGTCTCCACAGGCTGGTCAACCCCGGAATTAAAACCCTACGGTCCATTGAATCTCATGCCCACAGCCTCCTGCTTACACTACGCGACGGAGTGCTTCGAGGGACTTAAGGTATACCGCGGCTATGACGGTAAGCTCCGAGTCTTCCGCCCAGATCGCAACGCCGCCCGCTTGAATATGTCCGCTAGTCGTATCTCCCTACCACAAGCCGACCCCGACGAGATAACAAAGCTTATCCATGCCCTCCTCGAGGTTGATGGCGCTAAATGGCTCCCCAAGGAGAGAGCCGGGAGCTTTTTGTATCTGAGACCAACACTCATCGGCACCCAGCCGACCATCGGTCTCGTGAAGTCCAAGCAGGCGATCTTGTATATTATCTTGAGCTATATGCCTCGACAAGACACGCCACCTGGTGGAATGAGACTTCTGACTTCACCAGAGGACATGGTGCGTTCTTGGGTGGGTGGATTCGGCTACGCCAAGGTTGGTGCGAATTATGGACCGTCAGTGCTCGCTACGCAAGACGCTATGCAACGCGGCTTTCACCAGATCCTCTGGCTATATGGCGATCAGGGCGAGTGCACAGAGGCGGGCGGTAGTAATTTCTTTGTGGTCTGGCGCCGCAAGGATGGCAAGAAGGAGATCATCACTGCGCCGTTAGACGACCGTCTCATTCTGGATGGCGTTACCCGCCGCAGCTGCTTGCACCTGGCAAAGGAAAGACTAAGTGACGAGTTTGAAGTCACCGAGCGCAAGTACACCATCAGTGAGCTAATCGAGGCCGAGGCGGAAGGTCGACTGCTGGAGTCGTTTGCTGCGGGCACAGCGGTAAGTTCATCTTTCCTCGTTAGATGTCATACATGTTCATGCGCTCATATTGATATAGTGGTTCATTACCCCAATCTCAGCGATTCAGCACCGAGAACATGGCATCGCTATCCCTACGGGACCCGATGGTGGCCCCGGTGAGGTTACTGGTAAGATCAAGGGCTGGTTGAGCGACATTATGTATGGGCGGACAGAGCATGAATGGGGGGTTGTGGTGTCTGAGAGGGAATAGGTTATGGGACGATGTTTACTTATCATATAACGAACATAAGATGAGTCACGCATAATTTAGGATGCACTTTTCGTAAGGATAGTATAGTAACTATCAAGAGTAGAGTCAACATGAAGCCCTGACCCAATGCGGTTAGCGGTCATGTACGGCCTCAGGCAACGTAGGAAGCTTGGCTTCGGCGACATGTGAAAGTCGAAATCTCCGCCTCGCTCACCACCGATAAGGACAACGAGGCTCAATTATTCGACCCTAGCCGATTCTGGCCAGCGCCGCTTGCTGTCAGTCCCTCTCAACCGCATATTGCAGTTGTGCATCAGTCCAGGGGATGGCCACATGAAAAGCACCGTGACCGCAACACAACACCGCCGTTGAAACATGGAGAAATTCACTCAGTTCCGAGATCGAGGTATGTGCATCTCGTGAGATTACTGGCCCCTGTCATTGCTCAAGCTAACTAGTGGGACCGTCTAGGGTCGGGAATTGCACCTTTCCTTCCTATTCCACCGCAACCGGCCGGCTTTCAGTTGCCTTTGCGCGTCTTCCTCTTCTTTTTCCGTCTTCCGCTGTTTCTCTTCGTTTGTGTTAGCTACTTCCTCGTGCTACAATGGCTTCCGATTGGATCGCTAGGGAAGAAGGCATCCCTGTGGTGTATTCTCGGGGTGCCCAGCATATGGTGGATTGATCTTCAAGTGGACGGTGTGAGGAAAGGGTGAGTCGCCTGCAGGCTACTACGTCACCGAAAGTACAGGGCTAAGAGCCAAACACAGATCCTTATCGAAGCAACACCAAGCGCGTCTTCCAGGCCCAGGTTCCGTCATTGCCTCCTCGTTTACATCTCCCATCGATGCAGTCTACCTGGCTGCCATATTCGACCCGGTCTTCACCGCTTCCTACCCGAACTCGCGAAAGGTCGAACAGATATCCCTCTTCCAAGCAATTCTGCGCGCATTTGCCACTCCGCACACCAGCCCGCCCCTGAAAGCGCGCTTGGTGGATCTGGCGACCTTAGTTAAGAAATACCCTGGGCGACCTATCGTCACGTTCCCCGAATGCACGACCACCAACGCCCGGGGCATCCTGCCTCCCAGTCCCTCGCTGCTGAGCGTGGCCCCCAAGACTAAGATCTATCCGGTCAGTCTGCGGTATACCCCGGCGGATGTTGTGACGCCACTTCCCGGAAGCTATGTGAGTTTCTTATGGACGCTGCTCAGCAAACCCACGCACTGTATCCGGGTGCGCATTGCCGAGGGGGTGGTGAGTGGACTTGATGCAGAGGGCGGTCCCACTACCCGAAAATCTACGTATGATACCAACTACTTGGATACCCTGGACAAGGATAGTGCGTATGAATCCCTGGATACGGAGGATGCGGAGTTGACGCGGGCTGAGAAGGCCCTGTTGGACAATGTGGCAGATTCTCTGGCGCGTCTGGGGAGGGTCAAGCGGGTTGGGTTGGGGCTTTCGGAGAAGAAAGATTTTGTCCGAATGTGGACGAAGACACGACGGACATGGTAACGAAATTGTATATTCTTAGGTAGCATCATAGGGGGGTATCCCCAGTAGGTTGAGTCTATACTAGCTTTCGAACCAGCACCAATGATCTAGAACAAGGAAAAAGGGC